TGTACCCCCCTTAAAACCCTATTCTAATTATTAGGGCCCCTAAACCCTAAACCCTAAACCCAAAACCCCTACATTAGGGGCCCCTCATGCCCGGGAGCCTGAAAACCGCAACCTCCGGAAGCGATCTGTGACTCGACTCTTTCGGATTTTTGAGCCTCTGACTTTTTTGGATCTCGGAGGGATCCTGGCAGGACTTTGGGATTTGGGGTTTAGGGTTTGGGGTGTAGGGGTTTAGGGGTTTGGGGGTTTAGGGTTTTGGGGTCTAGGGTTTAGGGTTTAGGGTTTTAGGGTTTAGGGGTTTAGGGTTTTGGGGTTTAGGGTTTTGGGGTTTAGGGTAGGACTTTGGGATACCCGACGTTCCCATCGCCCCAAGAATCACCGGCCCGGGAGCCAACCGCGAGTTGTGGGAGCTTTGTTAAGAACCCCTAAGCCGAATCCGAGTCCCTATATCCGAAAGGCCCTAAACCCAAAACCCCCAAAACCCTAACCCCTAAACCCCTCAACCCCTAAACCCTAAAACCCAAAACCCTCAACCACTAAAACCCCTCAACCCCTAAACCCTAAACCCCAAACCCCTAAACCCCTCATGAACCCCTAATAGACCCTAGAAGCAAGGCCATGGAGAGCCTCCCACCTTCCAAACCCGCGAGGCCTTGAGCCCCGAGGAGCCTCAGAGTCGGCCCAGGCACTGCAAACCTCAGACGGTCATCGAAGCCGCCAAAGCCTCCAGGTGTGGGGGTGGGGGGGGGGGGTTTCGGGTTGGGGTTTAGGGTTTAGGGTTTAGGGTTTAGGGTTTAGGGCTTAGGGGGTTTATACGTTTTTTTTTTTTTTTGTGGGCTATTTTTTGGTATTCTCATTGTTCCTCTGCGTCTTCTTACTACTAGGTACTTGTTTGGCTTTTCAGTGGGGCTTCGAGAAGTATGACCACAATGACGTGCAAAAGTCACCTGTTCGTGTCTTCCTTGCTCGCGAAGATTATGCTGGCGGACATGTTGGTGTCGTTCTTGCTCTGAAGGCCGTCTCTTACGCGTAGGGGCTTGAATCGCAACGCTGTTGGAGCGATCGGAATGCACAGAGCACGCTGCCACAGCTTTCAAGCAACACTTTGTGTTGATTCGGATCCACTTTCTGAAGCGAGTTTCTTTTGCAGCCGCATGTCTCGAGCTTTGCAATTTCGGATATTCTAAGTCTAACATACGCTAACCAGTATCATTTGCCCTCAGCCCTGAATCCCAATCCAGAGTTCTCTTCCTTCGTGGGGGTGATGTGACTTGTGGCGGGGTGATACGACCTAGCGCTCCCGTTATTAGTAGTATTGCTACTATTCTCATTGCCTTTCTTTTGTTTTTGTGACACTCGTTTTTTTCGCGTCTGGATCCGTGGTGGTTTAGGGTTTGGGTTGAGTAACACAGTGCTCAAATCGAACGCCGGCAAAGCTGTGCTGTCTTTTGGCAAGATCGACCCTCGCCACCTGGTTGTATTTGTGTTACACGTGTGAACTTATGACAACCGCGAACCAGAAGCACCCAGTAGAAGGATGAACGCGCTGGCAGCAGGAAGCGCCCCAAACTGTTGACCTTCACTACCCTGGACAATGCACCCTGGCACCAACCCTCCAACAAGAAAGCAAACTTACCCCTAAAACCCTAAACCCGTAAAACCCTAAACTCCTAAAGCTCTAAACCCGTAAACCCCTAAACCCCTAAACCCCTAAACCCCTAAACCCCTAAACCCCTAAACCCTAAACAAAGAAGCCCCCAAAAAAAGCCCCAAGAGAAGCTCGGGAGGCAGCCCATCATGTGCTCGCACGCCGGGCTCACGTCCATCTGCCCTGGAAATCCGCGCACTCAAACCGAGGAAGCGGGAGGGAACGGCTCAGAGACTAATGGAGTGTAGGGGCCTTTTTTTAACCTATGGTAAAACCCTATTCTAATTGTAAAGGCCCCTCGATTAGGATGTAGGGTGAAGTTTTTGATTTTTGGGATGTAGACTTCAGGGTTGATCTTTTAGGGCCAGGAACTCAGGTTTCAGACAGGACAGCGAGTGCCAGACCATCCATCCGTTCATGCTTCCATCCCTACATAACCGTGCACCATCCTTTCATTTCTCTTTGGGGCGCCTGTAAGGGCCAAAGGATGATGTTGCATAAAGGGCTCAGGAAGACTCGTGGACGCACTGCATGCCAGTCATAAGTCCTAAATTCCTTTTGTACGTTTCGCGTTGTTGCTCTTTCTTGCTGTTCCTGTTTGTCGTGTTGCCGGGGCTAGCTCTTTAGGCCTTGCGCCGGAGCGGTTGCCTTTTTGTTAGGCCAGGCTCGTGCTTCGGTCGATCCTCAACTCAACTCAACCCAACTCAACTCCGGCCGCTCATGCATGCATGCAAGCAGGCCTTTGCATGCTTTCATTTAGTCTTCCATCCACCCGCCCATGCATCGATCGATCCGTGCATTCATTCATCCACATCTGTTCATCTTTGCAGCCTGTCCATTGGGCTGGTCTTAAGAGCTTGTGTGCACGACTGACGTCATGTGTTAGGCGCCCATACAGGGTCACACAAACTAGAGAACTAAACCCTAAAATTAATGCAACATAGTAATAATACCCTAAACTCAAGGCTTAGGCCGCCCACCTTCGTGGCTGGGTGGCGCGTAATCCCACCCACGCGCCCAGCCGAGAGGGGCCCTGGGAGCTTCCAGCGAGCTGAATTGAGGGACCCAGCCCCGCCGTCCCCTCCCCTGCCCTGCCCTGCCCTGCTTTGTTCCTGCTGCATGAGCAAGTTTGTCGTCAGGAAGAAGATCATGGATGGGTTTGCTCTACCAGGAATAGGTTTGGGTGGTTTGGCCGCCTCAGACGGGGTGGGGTGGGAACGAGCAACGAAAAATCCCTCCATGCGATGCACTGGAAATTTGCATTGTCGCAAGATCTTTCCGCCCATGCGCTACTGTACGGCAAAGCCTAAACCCTCAACGCACCTCGGAACCCGCCGCCTGCTGGCACCTGAACTCCTGGAGAAGTTTTCGTGTCCTGGGTCGGGTCGAGGCATTTGGATTGAGGCTTATTCAAGGACCTTGATTTTAGCATGCCCTGAGTTCTAAAGAAAGCAAACAGCTTCAGGACCCTTTCTTTTGAACTAAAATGCCCTGAATTCTAAAGAAAACAACTTTGGTTCAGGACCCTTCTTGAAGTGAGCACGAGGGACTCTGACTTTAAAACTTTGATTCAGCCCGAAGTTGCCACGAAGGAAGCAATCCGGGCTGTTGCAGATGCAGGCCTGGGCCCCACGGATTTGGTTCGACGCTGCAAGGGTTAGGGGCTTTGGGGTTTAGGTGTTAGGGGTTTACGGGGCTTTGGGGGTTTAGGGCGATAGGGGGTTTAGAGGTTTAGGTTTTCTGGTGGCGCTTTGGGGCTCGCTCCGATGCAGAGCAAGCTCCGATACAACACAAGGCCAGAAACGGGATAGTCTTTTGAGATGGGCTTCCGGAAAAGCAAAACCCTAAACCCCTAAACCCCTTAAACCCTGAGCCCGAAATCCTTAAACCCTGAACCTTAAAGCAGCAGACCGCTGTGCTTCTGGGTTTTCAAGGCACTTTAGGCAGATTCCGGGTTTCGGGCTCACAGCGCTTAAGGCATTTGAGTTCGGGATTTAGGCTTTCCGCCGTTGGTTTGGGATTCGCACATTCAGAACTTCATGACTGAAGCATGAAGGCTCCGGGACGGTCGGAGGCTTGAGGTTTAGGGTTTAGGGTTCGGGTTTAGGGCTTAGTTTGGGCTTGGGGTTTAGGGTTTAGGGCGTTTAGGGTATCGGGTTTAAGGAATCAGTCATGGCTGTCTCATGGGTTTCAGAGTTTGGAGCTCGTCGTAAGAGTATACGATGCAATTTCGGGGTTCTACTTATTTCGTGTTGGGAAAAGTTCATACTAATTTCCCCTTGTGATACCCTCTGGCTTGAATGTACCTGCAAACCCCATTCCAATTACGGGAGGCACCCTACAAATCTGAGGTTTGATGGGATCTGGAGCCATGGCCGTCGGTTGAGTTTGGGCTCCTGATGCTTTCCCAGGCGCCCGCAAAACCCAAACCCTAGATTCTACGAAGACTATAGCCGTGTTTCGATTGAGGGCTTAAGGTTGGGGTCTTAATACACTGAACATCCCTAAACCATACATCCTGAGCCCTAAACCGACGCATGCCCTTCAGACCTTTCGGCATACGAGGTGGCGTCTTCGGCGTGGTCTGTGTCCCCGCCGCCGTCAACAACAGCCCCCCGTCCGGGTGAAGTTAAAGCGTCCTTGGTAGAAGTATGCAGTGTTCTAAGCACCTTAACTGGGTTTCAAAGGTATGTGTATATGTATATATATATATATACATATATATATATACACACACACATACATACATATACACACACGCATACACGCATGCAAAGCTTTGACTCACTTATTGAATTCTGCCATGCAAGAGACCATCCTCTTGACAAATCCGCACCTGTGTGCTTGGGGTTCAAGGTTTGGGCCTCACCGTGAACTCAGGATTGCTTTTAATTGCAGGCGACGGTTTTAGGGTATAGGGTTGTCAGGGATTTCAAGCAGTGTGGTGTTGTTGTACTGTGTGGGATTTTGCGAGGTGATGCAAGAGGTCTCGTGGAGTCATTCCTGGTGCTTGGGGTGGAGGGGATGCATTACGAGGCCAGGTATGAGCGAGAGCCGTAACAGTCGCTTATCGGTAGTTGGCGAAGCCCGAGTGCCCACACCCTAATTACACCCCCAAGCCGCAACGGGGTCTGGCTCTAAGCATCAGGGTCGATTTTAAGCTACTTCCAGAAAGCATACATGCAGCCCTGCGAGCTGTCTCAGAAAATCTATGAGGGAAAGGACCGAAGGGGAATGTAGAGCCTGGTTTCTGATTTTCGTGTTTTTGGGGTTTTTTGGGTCACAGTCCCGTGCCCTTGGGGTGCAGAGCTCTTTGTGACGGCAAGAATTCGTGTAGAAATCGTGGACCAAGATGACAGGCCTTGTGCCACAGACTGCCCGAGGCGACTTTTGCACGGTGGGCGACCTTGTAGATAACATCGACGCGGCTGTGAAGTTGGTGGGGGAGGACTGGGGGTTTTCGAGGCAAGTAGCTGCATTCAGATGCGGAATTCAGCATGTAAAGCTGCGGTTCACCGACCAAAACTGTGGAGGCGCAGTATACTTGGACCCAAGCCCCCAAACCCTAAACCCCTAAGCCCCGAAGCCCTAAGCCCTAGACCCTAAGCCCTTAAACCCAGAAGTCCTAGCCCCAAGGCCCTAAACATTTAACTCGAACTTCTGAACCCACGGAGCCCTCTGAAAGCACCATTCCCAAGGCCCAAGCACCCTGAACTCCAAGACCTGCGAGACTCGGAAGCCCCGAGACATAAACCCTAAACCCTAAACCCTAAACCCCAAACCCGGAACCCTAAATTCAGACCATCAGCTTGAGGATCATGTGGGGTTCGGCTCCGACTTTCTCATGGCAGCCTCCTTGGAGGAGGCAGTAGGGTTTAGGGTTTAGGCTTAGGGTTTAGGGTAGGGTTTGTAGGGTTGAGGGCTTGCTGGCTCTGACGATTCTGGGTCAAACCAGGAGCGATGGCCCCTAGAGTCAGCTTGAAGCGGCTTTGGAGCTACCCTCCTTCGCTCAATCTCATAAATCTCGTGCCTTCCTGGCCTTGGGAATCGGGGTTTGCGGGTCTTTTTCGTTGTGGGTTTCGGCTAAAATCTTTTTCAGACCTGGGTCTCGGAACCTTGGGCCCTAGAGCCCATCTTCGTGTTCCTGCAGCAACCGCCTGGAAGCGGCTTTAGACGAGTGCACCTTGAGGACTTGAGGGGCACTATTGTTCGAGAACTTTCAATTCTAGAGTGGCTCTTTATGGATACCCACCTCGCTCACCCGCAAAGCCCGAACAAAAAGCCGAAGCGGTTTGACCCTAGGGGTTTATGCCCCGGGACCTTCAAAATCCGAACCTGTACAAAGCCCCCAGAACTTGAAGCGTCATACCTGAAGCCCTCAACCCTACCCCAAATTCTGAAACCCACAAGCCCCACAAGCCGCACCGCTCTGCAGACCCTCACGGCGCCGGAATGGGACGCACAAAGGCAGTCTGGGCTGCAGCAGAGCATTCCTAAGAAGAGGAGGGTGGGGTTTTGCAGCGTACACTTTCGGGTGAGGAGCGAGGAGATCGCCAAACTTCAGCTGCACAACCTGAACCCCAAACCTGAAACCCGTAGAACCCCTGAAACCCCGGAGAGTGTTGGAGAGGGTGCTGGAGTCTAGCTAGGGCTAGAGTTTTGGGTCCAAGCCTGTGAATTCTACATCGAAGGTTTTTTGTTTTCGTATCTCCCTAAACCCTAAACCCTCCAAAGGGTCGGCAACTCCAAAACTGCCAGCCTGTACTCAGCATCCTCCAGCGCGCTGCACCGAGAACTCACCAAGCCAGCTCTTAAGCACTCAAGCCCCACACGGGTTTAGGGCTTAGGGTTTAGGGCTTGGGGCTTAGTTAGGGTTTAGGGTTCAGGGCTTAGGGCTTAGGGTTGATGGTTTAAGGTTTAGGGCCGTTTAGGGTATACGAGAGCCAAGCGAGCACCTTTGAGATAAAGGCAGCGTCAATGTATTGATCAATTTCGCCCTTAGCCATCTCATTAAGTTCTGGGTTTGTTCTCAAAGTTAGGACGTAAACCAACACATTGGGACTTCCCTTGAGCACCGGAAGCACAACAAGCAGAATGTAACCTTGAGGTCGAAGTGATTCGTACTGAACAGTATCCCCTTAATATCATTATTATTTCTATTATTAGTTTCATGATTGTTATCGTCACGTTTGTTACTGTTATTACCACTATTATTATCAGTATTGCTATTATTGTTATTATAGTCCCCGCATTCTTGATTATACTACAATGTACCTTCAAGAACCATTCTATTATCGAAGCCCATACAGCACCTTATAACACCCGATAAAGACCCTTAGAGCCTGTTCTATGAGAAGGCTACCCAAGGCGGCCTTATAGCAACCCTTAAAGGAACCCTGAATGGAACCCTTAAAGAACCCGTAAGAGGAATCCTTACAGGAGCCCTCAAAGGAACCCTTTTCGCAACCCTTAAAGGGACGCTTGAAGGAATCCTTAAAGGAGCCCTTAAAGGAGATCACATCTTCTGTCGCCAAGGCAACAAGAGGTTTGTGTCAGCGGCGCGATTTGGCCGTTCTCCGACACCTCGCTTTTCATGGGAAGGGTCTGTTGCCCTAAACCCCAAACCCTAAACCCAAGACTGCAAGGGTGTTTAGGGTTTAAGGTTTCGGGGATTCAGGCTTTGGGGCCTGGGCCTTTTTGCAATAGGTTTTAAATTGCAGCGTTTGGGGCTTAGGCATACTGTTTAGGGTTGAAGGCAAACGAGTTCCTGAGAATCATGCTCAAGCGTGTCCTCCTATTCCGGACGTTGCAGTGTGCAAAGTTCGCGAAAGGAGGTCTCAAGCCGAACATTCAGTTAGAGAGTAGGGCAGGGCAGGGTTTAGGGTTAAGCCCTAAACCCTCAACTTTCCTAAACCGTCAGGCCATTGTGATGTGTGCCCCCCCTAATCGGCTGAGGATGGCCACAAGGGCTACGAGAACAATGCCGGCTACAGGAATGTGACGCGAGGGCTCGTTGCAAAGGGCTACTCGGATGAGGCTGTTCGAAAAGTGATGGGCGGCAACTTCCTGCGTGTCTTCCGGGATGTCGTGGGCTGAGAGCTAGGTAGCCCGCACACCCTAAACCCTACAAGCCCTAAACCCCGAAGCCCGTTTGTACCAGCTCAAGACAAAGACCCGAACTTACACCCAAAACCCTACGCAAAGCCTGCCATCGTAAGCTCTCAGCCCTGGTCAGACCCGTTTCAAGCGTCCGTCCGAACACGGCAATGCCAAAAGGAAAAAAGGAGAGAGCCAGTGTTTTCAGGGCTTAGGGCTGAAGGTTTAGGGTTTCGGGGCTTAATAGCCTAGGGTGCAGGGTTTGAGGTTGTATGGGCTGGGTGCAGGTCTTGAGGTTTTGGGGCTTAATGTTGTTGGGCAGTGTGCCGAGGTTGGGCTGAACACCCGACCTCCAGCAGGGAAGGGTGCCCCATGCAGTTCCAGAGCGTGTAGCTGACGCAAGGACCCTAAACCCTAAACCCTAAACCCCAAACCCCTAAACCCTAAACCCCAAACCCTAAACCCTAAACCCTAAACCCCAAACCCTAAACCCCTTAACCGGACGAAGTGGAAAGCCCGAGGTTCACCCACTGCAAATTTAAATCCAACAGGCCATCATCCAGGAGCGGAGCCGGTAGCATGTTGAACCCTTTACTACCCTTTAGGGTTTAGAGTTTAGGGTTTAGGGGTTTAGGGGTTTAGGGTTTAGGGTTTAGGGTTTAGGGGTTTAGGTTTAGGGTTTAGGGTTTAGGGTAAAGATTGACCCCAACCCTTACCCTAGACAGTAAAGCCTACGCCCTAGCATCCTTCCCGGGTTCTGTGACGACAGGTCGATGAGATTCTGGCCACGATCCGCCACGACATCACTGCCGTGGAGACCAATCTGGAGGACCTCCATAACAGCAAGCCCTTTTTCCTCTGGACTCATATGGGTAGTTCTCTAAATGAGGGTCCCTTTTTGGGTCCCCAACATAGTACGGCACTTATACAAAGGATCCTAAAAGGGACCTAAAGTAGAGAACTGCCCATATCTTGCACCACCAAAAACCCTAAACTCTAAACCCTAAACCCTAAACTTTAAACCCTAAACCCTAAACTCTAACCCCTAAACCCTAAACCCTAAACTCTAAACCCTAAACCCTAAACAAGACACTTCCCGGCCTCCTTTAGGAGTCGAAGGCCAAGATCACGAGCGACACGGACCAGGCAAGAGGGCGACCCTTGAGGGAGACACGGGTTTAGGGTTTAGGGGTTTAGGGTTTAAGGATTAGGGTTTAGGGTTTAGGGTTTAGGGATTTAATTCAGGGTTTAGGGTTTAAGGATTTAATTTAGGGTCTTGGGTTTAAGGATTAGGGTTTAGGGTTTAGGGTTTGGGGGTTCGCGTTTAGGGTTTCGGGATCTGAACACGTAAACATACCGTTGATGATATAAATCCTGCACTACCTTAAGGACCCTAAACTATGGGAAGTTATGGTATATTCCTTATTATGGGTAATGCAGGATTTATATCATCAACCCTAGTGTGCGCGTGAACTCCTTTCGTAGTTGTACTACACTGTCGTATGAAAGACCCCTATGTTAGGCCTAAAGGCTTCAGGTGTTAACATGCGGGGTTCGGGGTTAGGGTTTCAGGCCAGGAGACGTGTCGCAGTAAGTAAGTTTCAAAAAGGGTTGCAAGTATAAATGGTGTCCCGCACTGGGCGAGGTCAGGAGCAGTTTGAGGTTGCTGAGCCACTCCCCAGATCCTCTTTCGGGCAACTCGCTTTTCTCATGGGTTCGGTTTATTTGGTCCTTTGGGTTTCTGTAAATGCGGTTCGCTACAGTCTACTCTACAGGTTATGTATCAGAAGTTTTCGCCAGAGTATCCTTTCCCTCCGTGTTCCCGATTGGGTCCATGTAAATCTGGGGTAGCTTGAGTGCTTGAGTACTCGTTGCAGGGTTCTTGGCGATGGATATAGACTCATTTAGAGTTTAGGGCTCTGAGTTTAGCGTGTTGGGTTCTGGGTTCCAGGCTTAAGTCCCCGAGCGCAAAGACAAGAAAAGTTCCCCACCGCGCGCCTGCCATGCGAGGCCGTGAATGCCCTGAACGGGCGTATTGACTTCACCAACAAGGACTGTCAAGAGCATGAGGGGGTTTAGGGTTTAGGGTTTGCAGCCCGAAACCCTAAACCCTAAACTTCCTAAACCCTAAACCCTAAACTTCCTAAACCCTAAACCCTTATCTTCCTAAACCCTAAACCCTAAACTTCCTAAGCCCTAAACCCCAAACCCTGCAGACCCTGCGCCCTACAGCTTGAATCCTAGACCCTGAATCCTAAGCTTCCTAAACCCCAAACCTTGAGACCCTGCACCTACAGCCTGAATTCTAAACCCTAGCCCTAAACCCTAAACCCTGGAGACCCTGCACCCTACCGCTTGAATCCTAGACCCTGAATCCTAAGCTTCCTAAACCCCAAACCTTGAGACCCTGCACCCTACAGCCTGAATCCTGAATCCTAAGCTTCCTAAACCCCAAACCCTGCAGACCCTGCACCCTGCAGCCTGAATCTTAAACCCTAACCCTAAACCCTAAACCCTAAACCCTGGAGACCCTGCACCCTACAGCCTGAATCCTGAGCCCTGAACCCGTTTTGCGCAGGACCTGGCGGCCACCCAGGAGTCGCTTCACACGACGCAGAACTCTCTCAGCGACTGCTTCAACGAGGTGTTTTTTTTTTTTTTTTTT